TGTCAGGGAGCTCCAATCCATTTAATCAGGATGTAAATGGGAGCAGGTAGTTGTCTTGTTTGGAACCAAATACAGATATGGAATCAACAGATCTGATGCCTAGGTCAAACCATATAGGGATGGTCTGATTCTTAATACTCAAGCTGCTACTCCAAACTGAGCTAGAAGGATTAGCACGAGTCAAAAACACAATAAAAGCTCCAAATACGCATGCAGAGAAGTATCTTCCCATGATGAAACACTTCCTGTGCTGATGAATGCAGTAGCTGGAGAAACCATTTCTCTGCCAACACCCTCGGAGGACAGGCTGCGGCCTCTTCCTTCCCTTGTGTTCCCCAGTCTGCTTGGTGCATGCAGCTTGTGGTTTGGCTCCCTGATTAAAAAAAAAACCCTGTGCAGTTGACAAACCATGGGAAGAAATTGCCTTTTGGGTTTAATTATAAATAAAGGGTGTTTGCAGCCATTTTAAAATACAAGGATGCTTCGATCATTCTAGCACATTTAGATAACCTTGAGGAAACTTGGGCAAGTGTTTGCATCACCACCTATCTTATCCTGAAAATACGGTATAAGTCCAAACATAGCTTGGAGGTACATTCAAGGGTATGGTTGGAAATACATTCCACACAAAATGGTGGAATCAATATGAAATCTTAACGGGTTTCAATAAAGAACTGAGATTTCCTATGTTCAGGTCTGCACTTATTTACTTACTTACTTTATTTGAATCCCACGTTTCTCTACCCCGAAGGGGAATCAAGGCAACTATTCAATGCCGTTGAACAACAAACAGTTAAAATACATTAAGTTAATGATTTAAAAATTAAAATTAAATTCACATTAAAACATATAAAACATTGCAATCACTATTCAAAAATGGCGCGATCCACATTCGTAATCTGGGACTGTTCCAAAAGTCATTGCACATAATTACATAGCTATTATTGTGCTATAGTTAATCTCTGAAGGCTTGACTCTAGGGCCAGGTTTTCACTTTCCTTCTGAAGGCCAGTACGATAACATACTTCCGTTTGCAAACAACCACACTCTCCATGGATCTGGGGCAGGAGTACTTGGAAACAGGTTAGAGGCAACTCTACTATTAAACAAAATGAAGGGGTAACCTCAAGCAGCAGATTCTGGGAGGTGGCAACAAGGTATTGGTAGAGACAATTGGGTGCCTGCCTTGTTCCCTAAAACTAGCCACCTGTGTGCATGAGAAGATGCTGCTCTATCTCTAGTGGTGAGGAATGACTCAAGGACCAAACCATTTGGGTTTGGTGCATGGAATGAGGGGGACACTATGTTGCCTCTTGCCTCAGGCGGCAAAATGTTTTGTACTGAAGAAGATCTACATTTGCTTGACATAATGTGTGAAATGTCTTGTTCATTGTGTGTCATGATTTCTGACTCTGAAGAAACAATTAATGCATGATCCATGGTTCTTCATGTTGCTTCCTTCTACGACAGAAAGGATTTGGAAACAATATTAGAATTATAGAGTAGACTCATAGAATCTAGTTGGAAGAGATCCCAAGGACCATTTAGTCCAACCTGCTGCTATGCAGGAACACAGAATCAAAGCACTCCTGACAAGTGGCTATCCAGCTTCTGGTTTAAAATCTCCAGAGAAGGAGATTCCACCACACTTTGAGGCAGCAGCCTATTTTACTGCCGGACAGCTCTTAATGTCAGGAAGCTCTTCCTAATGTATAGGTGAAATCCCTTTTCCTGCAGTTTGAATCCCTTATTCCTAGTTTCCAGAGCACCAGAAGCAAGCTTGTCCCCTCCTCAATATGACATCCTTTCAAATATTTAAACATATTTATCATATCCCCTCTCAGCCTTCTTTTCTCCAAGTTAAACAAACCCTAAACATACCTTCTTCTTCAAGGTCACCCCAGTACTCCGTGGTTGTAGATATCTTTACAACCTATAAACCAGTGGTTCTCAACCTGTGGGTCCCCAGTTGTTTTGGCCCACAACTCCCAGAAATCCTAGCCAGTTTTCCAGCTGTTAGGATTTCTGGGAGTTGAAGGCCAAAACATCTGGGGACCCACAGGTTGAAAACCACTGCATAAACAAAGCCATTATGGCCACACAGTTATGATTATCTGGGATGTGCACTCAGGGGATGGCCTATGACTTAATTCCCCTGCATGGTTTTGATCTTTCCTGGAAGAGGACACTTTGCTTCAATAAGGCAGAGGAATATGCTCACCTGTTTCAACCCTTTATTTCAAGTTTACAGTGACATTGCTAGAGTTTGTGTCACCTCCATGAATCATACCCCAATACTGCAGTTACAATACCAGAAAATCTGACAATTTCAATTGTTATTTTAAAAACAGCAGCAACAAAGCAATAACACATCCTGGTAACATGTGAAGAGGAAACTGTGCGGTTCATGCTTGTGTGTCATTGTAAGTGGATAGTAATGACAACTTTGACTGGAGTGCATGCACATCACCATTATTATATTTACTTGTGTCCTGCTTTATTTTGGAACCTTAGTGGCATTAGAAGGTTCCAAAAGTAAATTAGCTTTTAAAGCTGAAGGCCGCTTCATGGTCCCTCAGACTGCTGATTATAGACTGCCAGATCATAGTTTGGAAGAAAAAAAATGAACAAATTCTTATACACACTACAAGTATCTTATTTGTAGAACAATTTTAACCAACATAAGCATACCAGTATTTCAATGGCAAGTGAGGGCCTGCTTTTGGCAGATGGGAGAGTCAAGTTAATTAGGATTGCTGTTGTTGTGTGCCTTCACATTGTTTCAGATATAAGGTGACCCTCAGTCTTCAGTTTAGGATGAGGGTAAACGGGTTGCCTTGGAGGGCTGCATTCAGCCTGCAGGTCTTAGTTTGGGGACCCCTGGCCTAGAGTTTCAAGCTTGGAAGCATATTGATACACTACATGTAAACTGGACTTCTTAAAACAGTTTTTTTCTGGTTATTATCTACAGGAGTATCATTTATTTATTTTTAAATGGATGAAATCTCGCACAAAAATATAACACTATGCAACAAAATTTGAAAATAAATCTGTTCCTGGTTTGAAAGTGTTGTTTCCTGTATAATTGTGTGATATTTACTTTGAGGGTAGTTGTTATACTCCAGAAACGTAGTTTTTGTGGCTGTCACAAACTATGTTGAATTGTCTGGGACTTTATGAGATATTTATTGAAAAACTACAGCAAAATGTGCTGCAGGATGTCTCTCAAAAACAAGGCTTTTGCAACGTGTTGCCGAAGGCTTTCATGGCTGGAATCACTGGGTTGTTGTGAGTTTTCCGGGCTGTAAGGCCATGTTCCAGAAGCATTCTCTCCTGACGTTTAGCCCACATCTGTGGCCGGCCGGCATCCTCAGAGGTTGTGAGGTTTGTTGGAAACTAGGCAAGTGTGGCTTACATATCTGTGAATGTCCATGGTGGGAGAAAGAACTCCTGTCTGTTTGAGGTGGGGAAGTTGCAATTGGCCACCTTGATTAGCATTGAATAGCCTTGTAGCTTCAAAGCTTGGATGCTTCCTGCCTGGGGGAATAATAGAATCACAGAACCGTGAAACTGGGAGAGACCTCGTTGGCCATCCAGTCCAACCCCCTGCCAAGAAGCTGGAAAATCACATTCAAAGCACTCCTGACTGATGGCCATCCAGCCTCTGTTTAAAAGCTTCCAAAGAAGGAGCCTCCACCACACGCTGGGGCACAGAGTTCCACTGCTGAACAGCTCTTACCATTAGGAAGTTCTTCCTCATGTTCACCTTTGCTGGGAGGTGATTAGCCGGCTTTGGTTGCTTCTTGTCTGGAATTCCCCTGTTTTTGAGTGTTTAATAAACTTTTCCCATGCTTGTTATGATATAACTATTTAGGATATGACATTTATAATCCAAGAACAAAAATCATGTTACACAGCTTGGTAGTTGTTTTGGTGTCACCCGCTTGAGTTGGGATCCCCCTAGTGCAGGGGTCCTCAAACTAAGGCCCGGGGGCCGGAAGCGGCCCTCCAAGGTCATTTACCCGGCCCTCGCTCAGGGTCAACCCAAGTCTGAAACGGCTTGAAAGTACACAACAACAACAATTCTATCTCATCAGCCAAAAGCAGGCCCACACTTCCCATTGAAATACTAATAAGTTTATTTTTGTTAAAATTGTTCTTCATTTTAATTATTGTATTGTTTCTAAGTGGGGTTTTTTTTGCACTACAAATAAGATATGTGCAGTACCCATAGGAATTCATTCATGTTTTTTTTTCAAATTATAATCCGGCCCTCCAACAGTTTGAGGGACTTTGACCTGGCCCTCTGTTTAAAAAGTTTGAGGACCCCTGCCCTAGTGACACCATTGCAAGTTGGGTCTATTTGAGTCCCTTAAACCCAACTTGGGGCCCTTCCACACAGCCCTATATCCAGAATATTAGAAAGAACTTCCTGACTGTGAGAGTTGTTCAGCAGTGGAACTCTTTGCCCCAGAGTGTGGTGAAGGCTCCTTCTTTGGAAGCTTTTAAACAGAGGCTGGATGGCCATCTGTGGGGGGTGCTTTGAACGCAATTTTCCTGCTTCTTGGCAGGGGTTGGACTGGATGGCCCATGAGGTCTCTTCCAACTCTATGATTCCAATATCAAGGGAGAAAATCCCACATCATCTGAGTGTGGACTCAGATAATCCAGTTCAAGGCAGATATTGCGGGATTTTCTGCCTTGATATTCAGGGATATAGGGCTGTGTGGAAGGGCCCTTGGAAGGAAGCATCGACTGTTACAGAAAGAAGTTTTAGTAACTTGGGTGGGAATGGATAGAACTTTTCTCCGTCCTACTCCAAGCAACCAATCAGGAAGGAGGGGAGGGCTTCTCCGTGTCCGCTATTTACATATTCCCTCCTCCCTTTCAAGGTCTCAGCCTCGGAGGGGGCGGGTCCGTAGGGCCTGACTCCTCCCTCTCGCGGAGCCCATTGGTCCAACTAAGGCGCTTGACTCCGCCCCTTGAATAAAAATCTCCCCGCGGCGCTCGGGAGTGCTCAGAACGCGAGGGACGAGCCGCGATTGGCGGAGAGGCGGCAACTTCTTGGGCTTCCCTTACTTTCCGAGCGTGGTCCCGCCCCTCGCGAAGGAGCACCTGCTGCTTCTCTTGGCCAAGTGGCGAAAGAAGGAAGGAAGGCAGGGAGGAAGATGGACAACGGGGGAGGGAACGAGCTCCTGCCCCGGCTCTGCTGCCCGGAGAAGGGCGCCAACGGCTACGGCTTCCACTTGCACGGCGAGAAGGGCAAAGTGGGCCAGTTCATCCGGCTGGTGGAGCCCGACTCGCCCGCCGARAAGTCCGGCCTCCGCGCCGGCGACCGCCTGGTGGAGGTGAACGGCGAGAACGTGGAGCAGGAGAGYCACCAGCAAGTGGTCAGCCGCATCCGGGGCTCGCCGGGCTCCGTGCGGCTCCTGGTGGTCGACGCGCCCACCGACGAGCGCCTCCAGAAGCTGGGCCTCCGACCCCGCGAGGAGCTCCTCCGAGGGCTGCCCGGGGAAGACGGCGAGCGGGAGGWGGAGGAGGAGGAAGGCCAGGAGGGGCCGGGGGGCAGCCCAGCGCCCAAGGAGGAGGAGAAGAAGGAGGAAGAGGAGAAGGAGGAGGAGGACAAGAAGGAGGAGGAGGAGGAGGAGGGCAAAGCGGCCGAGGAGGGCGAGGAAGCCAACCACGTCCCCCCGCGGGTGAGTCTCGGGGTCACTCCGGGGGAGGGGGGGAAGGGAGGGCCAGGGCTGGGCGGGTTCAAGGCCGGAGAAGCCTTTCCGCTCCAAGCCCGGCCAGGATGCTGCCACGCCGGAGAAGGAATGCCTGCCCTGCACTGCCCGGGCTCAAGGCCACGGGGTTTGGGGAGGGAGGGAGGCAAGCAGGCAGGCCTTGGGAAAGCCAGAGAGAGATGCATCTATACCAAGCACGGGCAAACTTAGGCCCTCCACCTCTTTTGGACTTCAGCTCCCACAATTCCAGCTTATTAGGAACTGTGGAAGTTGAAGCCCAAAGCACCCGGAGGACTGAAGTTTTCCTGTGCCTGGTCTACACTGTAAGGTTAATGCATTTGTGACACCACATTCATCGCCTGGCTCAATGCTATGGGATCCTAGGAGATGTAGTTTGGGAAGACACCAGCACTCCATGGAGAAACTCTATATACTCCCTCCAATGGATTATGTCCTTGGGGAAACTATATATACTCCTTCAAATGAATGAAGTCCTTGAGAAAACTTTATATCCCTCAAATGGATGAAGTTCTTGGGAAAACTATATATACTCCCTCTAGTGAATGAAATCCTTGGGAAAACTATATATACCCCCCCCCCCAATGAATGAAGTCCTTGGGGAAACTATATATACTCCTTCAAATGAATGAAGTTCTTGAGAAAACTTTATATCCCTCAAATGGATGAAGTTCTTGGGAAAACTGTATATACTCCCTCCAGTGAATGAAATCCTTGGGAAAACTATATATACTCCCCCCCCCCCCCCATGAATGAAGTCCTTGGGGAAACTATATATACTCCCTTGAATGGATGAAGTCCTTCGGAAAACTATATATCCTCTCTCAAATGGATGAAGTCCTTGGGAAAACTATATATACTCCCTTGAATGAATGCTGTCCTTGGGAAAACTGTATATACTCCCTCGAATGAATGAAGTCCTTGGGAAACTATTCCATCGACTGAATGTGCTTTGACACCCAATTTAACTGCCATGGCTCCAATCTATGGAATCCTGGGAGTTGTAGTTTTAGCCCTCTCTGCCCAAGAGTGCTGGTGCCTCAACAAACTGCAACTCTCATGATCATCCTAGTCTTCTTGATACTGTGGCAGAGGAGTCATGGTAGTGGCAATGTGCCACGTGGGGTGGCTGGGCTTTCCTTGAAGAGGGAGTGCAGAGCCCTTCTGATCTGGCTTGCCAGCTTCCTTTGCAACAGGTCCTGTGGTTTTCTCTTGCTGTTGCTTCAGTCCTGCTGCATGTTTTCTTTGGGTGCTGGGGAATAATAGTCCCTCTCGGGCTCCTCTCTCTCCTGGCTCTCTTTCTCTTTCATTATGAAATGTGACCTCCTTCTTGAAAGCCTGGGCCACTTCCGCTGCCTGTGAGCTGAATGCAAGCCCAGCTGGCAGCGCTGCTTTGTCGCAAGTTGCAAAAGGAAGTCTGGGTGGCTAAGAGAATACTTAGGGCACATCTACACAGCGGAAGGAATGCAGTTTGACACTCCTTTAACTGCTCTGGCCCATTGCTATGGAATCCTGGGAGCTGCAGTTTTCCAAAATCTTCAACCTTTTTTGCCAAAGAGGGCTGGTGTCTCACCAAAATGCATATTCCAGGATTCCGTGGCAGCTAAAATTGTCACAAATAGGTTGCTATGAGTTTTCTGGGCTGTATGGCTATGTTCCAGAAGCATTCTCTCCTGATGTTTCGGCCACATCTATGACAGGCATCCACAGAGGGATGCCATAGATATGGGCAAAAAATCAGGAGAGAATGATTCTGGAACATGGCAGGCATCCTCAGAGGGATGCCATAGATGTGGGCAAAACATCAGGAGAGAATGCTTTTTGAACATGGCAGGTATCCTCAGAGGGATGCCATAGATGTGGGTGAAACGTCAGGAGAGAATGCTTCTGGAACATGGCCATACAGCCTGGAAAAATCACAGCAACCCAGTGATTCCGGACATGAAAGGCTTCGACAACACAAGGTTACAAATAGCTTTATTTCTGCTGGGCAAGCATTATTTCTACAGGGCAGATATACCTTTAGGAAGAGTTCATAAGCCTGTTGCTGCTGGTGTTGGTGCCCTGCTCTGTGTCAAAAAGATTGCCACCTGTAGACAGATCAGTGCTTTCTTTAGGAAACTGCAAAAGGCTTTGGGTGGGAGGACGTAAGATTTCCCCTTTTCCTAATATGAAATCACTTGAGTGTCAAGAACATCTCATGGATTGCGTACTTTGCATGTTATATCAGCTCTCTTTTCTGGGAGACACCTGACTTGGGACACAAGTTTGTCGCTCCTCTTCAGCTGTGCTCTGTAGCTGGAAAGGCTTTCTTGATTGCTATGAGACTCCAGTCATAGTGTAATTATTAACATAATTTAAAACATAGAAAGAAATTAAATCCAGAGCTTTTCAATAGACCAACTTTGGATGGAGTTTTGGTATTGTGCTTTACTTAAAATTCCCCTTCCTTGTGTTCCACGGTGCAGTTTTGCACTTGCTTGTTGAGAAGTAAATCCCACTGAGCTTGGAGGTGCGTAAATGGTCATAGGATTATGGGCTTAATCTCATGATTTCCCCCTGCCGTTACATCCGCTACCCATTCAAAAGGCTTTTAAAAGAACAGAACAGGGCTAAGAAACTGCAGTAGTTGGTAGCTTGTTTGAACCATTGCTAGTTCAAACAAAGAATAATAATACTAATAATAATCTTAAAAATAACAACATTTAAATATATTTATTTATATCCTGCCATCATGGCACTATCTGGTGCTGTTCTGTAAACTACTTCAGAAGGGACTCGAAGCAGTTTACAGAACAGCACCAAATAGTGCCATAAAAACACATAAAATATATCACCATTTATAACAGTAGCAATATCGATATCCTCTTCATCCTGGAAAGAAGTGATGAGTGGAGTGCCATAAGCAAGGTTCTGTCTTGGGCCTGGTCCAGTTCACCTTTATTAATGACTTAAATGAAGAGTTAGAAGGCATGACCATAAAGTTTGCAGACGACACCAAATTGGGAGGGATAGCCAATATTCCAGAAGACAGGAGCAGAATTCAAAATGATCTTAACAGATAAGAGAGATGGGCCAAAAATAAAATGAAGTTCAACAGGGACAAATGCAAGATACTCCACTTAGGCAGAAAAAAAGAAATGCAAACATACAGAATGGGGGACGAAGCCTGGCTTGTCAGCAGTATGTGTGGAAAAGATCTTGGGAGTTCTCGTGGACAAGAAGTTAAACATGAACTGACAATGCCAGGCAGCAAATAAAGCCAATGGGATTTTGGTCTGCATCAGTAGGAACATAGTGACTGTCTAGATCCAGGGAAGTAATTCTATCCCTCTGTTGTGCCTTGGTCAGACCTCACCTGGAATTCTGTGACTAAATCTGGGCACCGCAATTGACGGGAGATGTTGACAAGCTGGAATGTGTCCAGAGGAGGACGACTGAAATGATCAAGGGTCTGGAGAACAAGCCCTATGAGGAGCTGCTTAAAGAGCTGGCATGTTTAGCCTGCAGAAGAGAACCTTGAGAGGAGACATGATGAGGGCCAGGTATAAATATGTGAGGAGAAGTCATAGGGAGGAGGGAGCAGGCTTGTTTTCTACTGCCCTAGAGACCAAGCCGCGGAATAATGGCTTCAAATTACAGGAAAGGAGATTCCACCTGAACATGAGGAAGAACTTCCTGACTGTGAGAGCTGTTCAACTGTGGAACTCTCTGCCCGGAGTGTGGTGGAAGCTCCTTATTTATTTATTATTTATTTATTAACTTTATTTGTACGCCGCTAACATCTCCCGAAGGACTCGATGCAGCTTACAAAGGCCAAGGCCTCATAAAACAACAGTATAACAATACACATAAACCATAAGCAAATCAAAATATTAAAGCAATAAACAGTAAACAGTAAAAACAATACACCATAGCACAGTAAAACTAAGGCCGGGCCTAATGTAATGGGTACAGATTAAAAGTGCTGAATGGGTACAGATTAAAAGTGCCTTCTTTGGAGGCTTTTAAGCAGAGGCTGGATGGTCATCTGTTGGGGGTGCTTTGAATGTGATTTTCCTGCTTTTTGGCAGGGGTTTGAACTGGATGGTCGGCATCGTCTCTTCCAACTCAATGATTCTATTATTCAATTAACATAAGACAGCACTTACAAAAAAAATCACCAAATCCCAACTCAATTATAAATAGGCAATTAAAACGCAGCAATAGCTATTAATTAAAATGGGCAGCACAACCAAGTAAATGGCTGCTAACAATGCTCCTAAAATCTTCAAATTAAAATCTACATGGTGATTTTTTTTTAAAATAGTGTCATGGAAGTGGGAGCCACTAGGTTTGAATGTTGCATTAGAACTCAAGTTCAAGGTTTGAATCCCTTCTCATCCATGGAAACCCAACTGAATGACCCTGGGGCACAACACACACTCTCAGCCTCAGAGGAAGGTGAAGGTAAAACCTTTTCAGAAAAATCCATGGTAGGTTCATCTTAGGGTTGCCATAAATCGGAAACAACTTGAAAGGCCCACAGCAACAAATGAAGCTTCAGGTGGAGCCTTCATCTGTGCCAAATACTTTGGGTTGTTGTCATTTCTTGGATGGTGCCTTCCTTCCCACAGCTTCTGAGTTATAATCCTGTTTATATTTTCATTTGAGTATTAGCTACTGAGAACTGGGTGAGCGCCTGATGATTTCAGCTCCAGTGTTTTCTCTGCTATCTTCCCAATGGAAAGGGTTAGCACAATGAGCCAAATTATGCCCTGCTGAAGTCTCCCTTTCTGTGACCACATTTGTGCACACCAACCAGCTGTGGTTAGCCAGCCATAATCTACAATCAGGCATCATGAATTATTAGGTTATAAACCTTGGCTTGTAAAAGCTTATTGATATGTCTAAACTAAAATCATATTTCCTCAGCTGTGCCCTGACACAAAAAAGTGAGAGAAACAAACCAG